ATAAATTGAAGAACAGCTGAAGTAGAGTGATGATAGAGCTCTGTCCGATCAGGGGCCTGAGGAGGTATTTAGAGAATAGGTGTGAGCAAGATCAAAACCACAAGTCAGCCTCACGTTCCAACTACAGCAACCTATGAAGCTAAGAGAGCTTTGATCAAACTTACTAAAGAGATACCTTGATTATTTTTTGAGTCGGTCTTGATCGGCCGTTGTGGGATACTTTATGGGTTCCCATCCAACAACTTCAAAAATTTTATATTTTCTTGTATATACAATAATATTACACCAAATATGGCTCCAGGAAGGGATTCCAGGGCCAAAATTACCGTAGAGGAGCAGGCTTGGAGACATGTAACCCCTCTTTGTTGCATGTTAAACCCGTCTTTCACTCACAGGTAGGGGGGTCAAGCACCCTTACATGTTACAAGGATATCAGGGGATATCAGGTGCACATTTCACCCCTCCGGGCCATGTGATATGGCATCTGTATGTCTCAATCAAGTACAATGGAAGTATGCAGGCACAGCATACAGGTTACCTTGGCAACCTGCCATGCAATGCGTACAGCCTCAACATACAGGATGACATCATTTGGCTTACAGAACACAGCCTGCAGGTTGCTAGGTTGCATAGCAACTGTTGCACAGCTTGTCAATCCAGCGGAAACCACTCAATTTCTCAAATCACATCATGTAGGCTGTACCACCAGCCAAAACCCCTCATGTATTCTTCCATCTTGGCCAAATTCCCTCATGTAAGGCTGTACAACCAGCCAAAATCCCTCATTTCTGGCTCCCCTGGAGCCAAAATACCTCATTGTTGTCTATATAAGGAGGTCCTTCCTCCCAGTTGTAATTTCTCCCCAGCAGACTTCCTGCAGACATTTCCCCACATAACAGGCAAATCACTGCTCACTCCATAATATTATTTGTTCCCCAATATTTTGGTTTTACAATTATAACAACCCTTACATACAATTATTACAACATCTTTACACATAACAACAACCCATTTTTGCACCTGTCCACCTGTTAAACAACAGAGTATCTTTTGATACACTCCACTATCACTAATTAAAAGCTGCCAATCTAAGATTGGTGGTCTTGTTTAGTGTAGTACACAGGAAAGGCAGAGGTTACCTCACACATCCCTTTCCGAACTCAGCAAAAGGTTCTCACGAACACTTTTGAGCTTAACAAGGGAGTCCCCAACGTGATTGAGGATCCTGTCGTTTGGCACGTGGATTGAAAAATCAGTGAACCACTGTAGTGAAAACTAGAGGGTATTTTGGTTAGTTTGTGTTAGTTTAGGCGGGAAATCATACCTGTCTTGACAACCTGAAAAAGCATATCTCTGATAAGCAATTTCAGTCAGTTTATACAATAGAGTTCATATATAGACCTAGTAGGGCCGGACTAAATAATTAACTACTCAAAAAATCAATTATAAAAGTTAAGAAGACGAGGGGACCGGCTAAGCTGACGTACAAGCAGTAGGATATAGATTTTAACTACCAAGGTGGTAGCCGATAAGCTTAGTACAGAACAGACTGTAGTCTATGGCAACCTCTACGCATCGGTATAATTGAAGAATAAAAAGTAGCATATTATTTAGTTTTTGATTATTAGTTTAGTAAACAATACCCTCTACCTTGCCCTGGCAAAGAAGCCAGAGACCTTAGTTTTTAGTGAAGTTAGGATTACTACTAGGAAAATATTAAAACTCATTTGATATAAAAACACTGGAAATTAGTAAAAATCGGACATGGCTTTTTCACAAAATCAAGATTTGGAAGGAGCTCTACCGACAACAAACACACCTTCAACAGGAATATTCTCGGGCAATCAACACAGTCAACACATGAATATTGATCCGCCACCACCACCACCTATGAGACATAATCGCTTACGCCATTATAGGACTTATGGGAACAACGGAAATACTCAATCATCAGACAACCCGAACGGAACCGGAAACACCCAAGGAGGAAACATTGCAAATGGAACCTACGGCGTACCACCGGAAACTAACGAACCTCAAGAAATGGACGAACCAAGGCCGCGACCTGCGGTCATCATCAAGGAACCCGATTTGAAATACGATGGCGAACACTTCGAGGATTTCTTGCAACGATTCGAGCTGGCAGCAGAGATATACGGCGCAGGCGGCTTTGATAAAGCACGCCAGGTGTGTAGATTTGTTCGAGGCGAAGAATTGAAGAAGGAACTGGAATCGATGGACGGATATGACACCCGCAACTGGACAGTCTTGCGAGCAAGCATGATAGAACTTTGGGGCGGCTCAGTGAAAAAGATCCGGTACACAATCAGGGACCTTTATAATTTGATCGATTTCTGCCAAAGAAAGGGAGGAATTAAGACAATTAATGACTTCAAAACATATCAATCTAAGTTTATGATGATAACAAAGTATTTGGTCAGAAATGAACATATTATCAAAGAAACGGCTGTCTCTCACCTTTTCTTCTTAGCCTTTCCTGTTGACATACAAACAAGCATCAATAGAGAACTAGTCAAAGCAGATCTCATTCCAACTGGGAAGGATGGGTACAACAAGCCACCTCTTCTGATGGATGTGATTGATGTAGCAGAGGATGAAATTCGAGCCAGATCCATCAATGCATTTGCAGCAAGTGGGTTTGCCGAAGCCAATTCTATGATGCAGAAAACTATAGATCAAAAGAAAGGTGATGGAAAAAAGCGTGAGAAGATGGTGGAGGAAAACTCTCCAGAAGTATTGCAGAAGCAGGTGGATAACCTGGCCAAAGCAATAGAAACACTTACTGGAAAGTTGGACAACCAACCAAAAGCAGAATATTCTCGAGGCAACGAGCGACCGACGGGACGACTTTACGAACCTCGACCATGCTGGTATTGCCATAGAGAGGGTCACTCAACACAATCATGTTACGAAGCCCAGAAAGATGAGAAAGCGGGGCTTGTCAAACGCGATGGCCGCGACTTCTGTCTTCCAAATGGTGAGAAGATCCCATGGGATGCATCTAGACCTATTAGGGTTGTAGTGGCTGCGGACTCCGCACAGCCAAAGCCGACTATAAATGCTGTTTACAAGACAGATAACCCAGCGGTCTTTTCCTCACCACTACCAACATCATCTACGTGTAGTGAACTTGAGTACATCTCATCATTACACAGGATTGATTGGGATCCACCAAAATTAGGCGCAGTTAACTTTGAGAAAGTCAGACTTGAGGCCAATATAGCTACTACCCGAGCAGAAGCGCTTCGTGGACGAAGGAAACCACCAGCGGAAAACGAGGACGCAGCGATGGACTTGGATCAAATCGATGAACTAGAAGAAATAGTACGGGACATACCGGCAGCTCGGAAGACACCTGGTCAAATGTCCGACTCTCAAGGGAAAACAACTGCCCAAAAAAGGGGAAAGGACGGCCGAATCAGCCTTGGTCTCGGAATTGGACAACTTAAAGATACCAACCACTTTTTCGCAACTAACCTCGATTTCACCAACCTACGCTCAAGAAGTGATCAAGAAACTTCAGAAACAAATCCCGGAACACAAGAACTCAAAATTAACCTACGTCAAGGACACGAAAACGGACCCCAAGGTATCGGCATCTATGTTGTTAAACCAGGATGAAGAAGATCGGGAATATAATTGTTTCTACAGTTGCGCTTTGGGATACATTGATACTCATATTGCTGGGAGGAAGATACCATTCATGGTTGATTCCGGCTCTATGGTCAATGTTATCCCAAGACAAGCTGCAATTGATCTCGACTTGGAAGTTGTGGAAGTAGACATACCAATGAAGGGAATTGGTGGTGATCGGTGTGATATCAAGGGTGTAGTCGAGAACTGTGCCATTAGTATTGGGACGATTTACCGGGACCAGTTCATCTTTTTGTCTCTCCGCAAAGCACAAGACTGTATCCTTCGACGACCATTTTTGTTCGATCACGATCGCACACTCGATTTCCCCACATAACAGGCAAATCACTGCTCACTCCATAATATTATTTGTTCCCCAATATTTTGGTTTTCAAATTATAACAACCCTTACATACAATATTATAACATCTTTACACATAACAACAACCCATTTTTGCACCTGTCCACCTGTTAAACAACAGAGTATCTTTTGATACACTCCACTATCACTAATTAAAAGCTGCCAATCTAAGATTGGTGGTCTTGTTTAGTGTAGTACACAGGAAAGGCAGAGGTTACCTCACACATCCCTTTCCGAACTCAGCAAAAGGTTCTCACGAACACTTTTGAGCTTAACACCGTGAAGCTTGAAAGAGGAATAAGGGCAGGGGTTGGGGAAGTCTCAGTGGAGACTCAATTGCAAACCTAACCGGTTGGGTGATACCTTCACCGCTGGGCATACACAGCTTGCAGCAAAGCAGATGCGGCGATGCGCAGTGGCTGAAGGGGACTGGTACAGTCATCAAGGCTCAAACACCCTCAAACTGCCCAAACACCATCACCATCACTCAAGAACCTACGTATCCGAACTAGACCCACATGAAAAAAGAACATCAGCATTCAATAAAACTCAACCAACACCCACCCATCCAATACCAACCAGACCCAAACACCTGAAACACCGGCACTAGCAACTCTGATGACCCACTCAAGGTACTCTCAACCAGGACAAACTACACCTCATTCGACTGCTCGGTCTAATCCATCAATCCTAATCATGCTGTCCTTGCCAACTTCAAGCTCTTCAGCACAATGTTCAAACTTGTCAAGATGTCCGTAAGCAATAGTGTGCTCAATATTGCGCTCGAAGGTGTTGGCCGAGCCAAATGGGTTGATGCTGGATTCCTGAAGACTCATAACACTAAGGGCGTTCAAGTTGAGCGGACTGATGATGTATAGAAATATTACTGTTAACTAATCCATCTCTGCCCCCTCTCAACAGGTCTTCCCAATCCAACATCTCAAAGGATTCTATCACCACGTTCGACTGGATTTCTTGACCCACTATGGATCCAAATACTACCGTCCATTCTCACTTGTTCGGATCTGAAAAACCAACTTCTCCTCTTCATCATAACCCTCCTTCTGGGAATCCTACCGGACATGGATTCGAATCGATATTCGGTCAGATCATGAAACATCTCAATGCTCTCGAGTCTAATCATCATCTCCTCCTTAAATATGCCAAGGATCAGGTGCTTGGTCTTGGCAATTCTTCACTAAAAGTTCAGTCTGATCTCGTCAAACTTGAGAAAATTGTAATTACACTTGTTTGCTTTTCCGCCAAACCAAAAACTGCATTCAAATTAATTGATGATGTTTATGTTTACAGTTAAGATTGCAAACCAAGAAGCTTGGCGAGTGTTGAAGAGACCCAAGGGATCAAGAACCAAATGACGGTAGAACACAACTCCTGAACCATCGGATCAAGAGTTTGGACTCCTTGATCACATTTATCAAGCGCATCGGGCTGGTCCAATTCCTGAGCATCATTGCGATCCTGATCTTCTTCAGCATGACCCGAATTCAACATGGAAGCAGTCCTACAAACGATGCGGGAATAGTGGCGAGGAGGTGGTAGCCACCCATGGACGACACATCCGATCCACCATCTCTCTTCTTCTCGTCTACTTTCTGGGCATCCTAGTTTACGACAACGGACGAGAGATTCAGTATCGTCGGCAACAACGGCCGCCAAGAACGAGCTCTTCCTCGTCTCCTCCCTCCATCGCAAGCTTGCCCACCACTCTTCTCCCTGACTGCCGTCGCTCAAACTCGGCTTGAGGAGGCCAGACTCGCCGCTCAGACGAGCCGCTTCCCTCTCCCATCACCATCAGAAACAACTCAGCGAGAGTCTCAATGGACCGGCCGTGCCCGCACCTGCTCACCTTTATCCCTCGTACACGCCCTCCATCAGTTCGCGTGTATGAACTCATCTGATGATCAGGCTAATGTGGCGATCATCCCCAAGATTCAAGACTACCTCGAGAAAGCCTGCTCGATCGTCTGTTGTATCATCACCAAAAGGTCGACTTTGTTATATTCTGCTAGCAAGAAACTTCAGGCAATTTCTGACCCACGAACTTACACAACAATCGAAAACCTTGCTCAGCGGGTAATTCGGACATGTCTTGCGATCAAGAACCAAGCGATCTCCAAGCCGTCTGAAAGCTTGATGAACCTCGGCCGGTTTAGTGATGACTTATTGGTCCGACTGATGTCTCATTACTCAACGCTTCCAGATATACGTGATCTTCAATCCGTCAGCTCGGAGCTTCAGCAGCAATCATCTTACCTCACCGGTCTTCTGACTAGTTATCAGAGCATCCTTCAACCCACACCGACATCTGTCCCTGAGCCAATTTATCAGCAACTCCTTGAACATCAGTTCAACTTTGGATTGAAAATCACCACACCGATAATCCTTCACAACTTCAGCCTGGTTATTGTGATGCAGTTATATCAACTCTATGTCTCGCCCCCAAAGCGGATCAATACCTCCGTTCGATTGATGATTGGATGGTCTTATTGACCGTCGGTTTGATCCTCAAAATCCAAGCCAAGGAGGGCAAGACGATCCTGTCAATTCAACCAGACCCGTCTTCTTCTTCTTCTGAAAATCATCATCAGGTCATCCTTGAGCCGTTTATGGACCAATTTGCATCAGCTTTGAAGAATAACAGCCACTTGGCTGCCATTCCAAGTGTGCTTGCACTTGCGTGTGTTCTGGGGGCCGGAATGGTGACCTTTGTCTTTTCCGTTAGCATCAGAGCCACAAGTCCTCAGCAGCCTTGACAAACAGCTGAACAAACCGAATGCCGCTGCCAAACGATTCAAACAACATCGCTTGCTGCCAATCGGTGGTGTGAAAGGGGGTCTCTTGTGTTTATAGCGACGCTCACAATCAATTAAATTCCTGTACAAAAAATTGTGTTCAATAAGGATCGATGCCTTTATTCATCGATAGTGCTTTTGAAAATAGATGTATTGGGCCACCTGAATCGTCAGAATAGGGCTGTTGTACTTTATACCTGTCATAGGGATAATGTTGCAGATGTTATTATTCAGTACTAATTGAGGTAGTATATCCCCTTTCCTGGGAAAACATTGAGTTAAATACTTCAGATTTGTTCGCGATTATTCATTCTTTCATGGAATTGTAGACTTCTTTTTTGAGATTCTCCCAGTTGGTGAATGGGCCCTAACTCTGTCAAAGAGAAAAATCAATAAGATACATTTCAATTTGTGTGGGGGTCGGAGAAACGTCTGCAGACCCATCCTAGCAAAGAACCATCAGCCTGCACCACGCCTGTACCACTTGACAATGGGCCAGGATGGGCCACGGTGCCTGTGAACTGTGAGCGTTCCGCCAACGTTGACACAATGAAGAGCTGGAGTCGACCTGGGACTTACACACCGCAGGAGATCTTCCTGTTGCCTTGCAACTCACGTACGACTGTCTTTACGTCACGTGAGTTCGCGTTGATCCTGGGGATTTGCGCCCTTGGACGTCACATCTCTTCGCGTTGCCTTTGTATGCACTTACTTTTCTTTTTTTTGTGATTTCCCATGGATTATCTTGCGGGAGGATTCATTCTTGCTTTCACAAGGTGAGACACCAGTACAAGTACAGGAATAAGGTGCCTTAAATTTATAAATAGAAAACTAGCATCAGACATTAAGCTGCTTTTTTTCGTTTCTCAGGCACTTTCCTGGTCCAACCTGCAGCAGCCCTTTGGCAGTGCGACTCACCGCAATTCAAAGTTCACTGAATTTTTGACTGGTGCTCCCTAAACCACCTTGCGCCGTTCGAAATTTCGTCTCTTCCACATTGTACTCACAAGCGTGAACCCCAATTTTAACCCTTTCCCTTCCCCCCATCCACTTCTTGTCCGGGAATTGACGGCAGTCCTACTTTGAAGTAGTCTCAAAGATTTCCCCAAATTTGCCTTTTGCCTCATAGAATATGTTTCTGACAACTTATGTTTTTTGGCTTGTGCACTGTTCCAGCTATCATCTTGTCAACTGCTGGAAGTCCACTGGCTGAAGATTTTCCCAAGTGTCATCCCAGGTGGTCTAGGCTATGATGGTAAATGATTTTACGAAAAGAATATATATCTTCCCCAGGAAACATATTTTTGCCTATTCAATGCTGATTCTCCCTGAAATAATTTGTATGTAAATTCGCCTGTCCCTGAAAGTGAAGTCACAGGCCCATCATACATCAGTAATCACATTTTCGCAGTCGTCTTCAGTCAATATATTAGAGTCAGGTCCAGTTTTTCACAGAGGAAGATGATGAAAACGTCTCACTCTATATAAAAGTTTTGTTCTTCTTCAATAGCTGGTGCGGTCGCAGATTGCGGGGGGTTCGGATCTCATTCACCCCCCCCCCCT